AGAATATTGCCTTGTGATTTTTTAAACTTTATTAAACTTCTTATTTAAAAATGTTTGGAGTGGTTGATTACGAAACTAAAATAAGTTTTTAAAAATTCAAAATGGAGGATCCAATATGGCGGATGGATCTAAAAAAAATAATCAGATTTTTATGAAATTGGATATCCAAAGGTTCTTTGAGTTTCTGATTACAAAACTGAAATTAGTTTTCAGAAATTCAATATGGCGGATGGATTTTTAAAGAATTATTCGATTTTTTTGATATATGATAATAAAACGTTCTCAGAGTCACTGATTATAAAACTAAAATCATTTTTCAAAAATTTTAAATGATGGCTGCAATATTTCAGACGGATTTAAAAAAAAAAATTAATTATCAGATTTTTATGAAATTTGATAAACAAATGTTCTTTGAGTCGCTGATTACAAAACTGAAATTAGTTTTTAGAAATTCAAAATATCGGATCCAATATGGCATTTAAAAAAAAAAAATTTAGGTTTTTATGAAATTTGATATTCTAAGGTTCTTTAGGTCGCTGATTAAAGTTTTTGCTCAAGTTTGTATGTATATAACCTGTGACCTTAAAATTTTTGTCTGCATCTCTTAATTCAAATATTACTCCTATAACTAAACGGTAAAGACAACGATCTCAAAAAATTGAACATGTATGCAATTCTTTTGGCACTATTTGGAATCCAGATGAGACCAAATTGCATCAAAATTTAGCAATGCGTAATTAGCGACCCTAAAACTAGGCATTTGAAAATATTGTTTTTCGCCTTTTTAAAATCTTTTATCTATTGAGTAACACTCTATGCACTGTGACCAAAATGTTTTTCAAGTAAACTTTTTTTTTGTTTTTTTCTGACCGCAAAAGCCGTCACCAAAAAAAAAAAAAAATTAATTGAAGATGAACGCGATTTTGCAGCCACTTGCAATTTGCATTTTATGCAACTAAAATTTATTGGGCTATACAGCTTGGGCAGTATTTTTATTTTAAATTGAAAAACATTGTGAATATTAAAAAAAAAATCAACACGTGGTCACTTGTTTGAGTCACTGTGTGTTAATTTTCGGTGCTTTATTACTTATTTATGGAGCTATCCTTAATTACCTATAGTTCCATTACTGTAAACAGCTGCAATAACGGCAACTGTGCTGTTATTTTGGTTTGAATGGTTAATTTAACTTTTTATTTATTTATTTTTTTGATTTTCTGCTAGTGTTTCGGGTAAAGTTAATTAAAAAATAAAAACAGTACCACGTAATCAGTAAAAGCATTTATGGAATTCAAGCGTGTTTGTATGTATGTAGATATAGAAATGTATATACATAAATACTTTTACACTTTGTTTGGATTTGTCGATGAATCTATGTATTTATGTTAGTAATGGAGCACTTGGAGATCTCTATAAGATTCCTCCCAGCTTTGCAGGTTTGTAGGGTGTGTATCAGGCAAAGCGCAAATTGAAAGTGCACTTTTGATGAGTTCAAGGGTACAGTTTATTTATTTTTTTTGCTTTGTACTCATCGATATACTCCGGCCTAAGCCAATTCATTAGTCCTCTAATTTTCGTATATGCCCCCAGGGCTGACTTGGCCGACAAGCTTGACGTACATATGCATTATCTGACTCTTTTGGACTTTTTGAGCCAGATTGCCAAGTCCGCAGCAATTTCACGGATGTGTATGGGCAGTTGATGTAGGATAAATTTTGCGTACGGCTTAATTTTGTAGCATTGTATTTGTTATCTAGCCACCAAATTAACGCACCGCACCGTAAGTTAGTATTGGTCGTATGATAGCCGTGTACATCCAGAGAACAAGGCTTGGCAAGGAAAGGCAGCCGGTGTAGTTCAGCTGGGGACGGCGCAGTATTTTCTAATAGACTGCCGAGCCTTTGTGAGGCTAAGACGGAAACATTTTTGGCTCGCACTTCCTGACTAACACTGAGGAGCTCTCAGGCATTGTCCAAGTGCATCCCTGGTCTGGGGCAACCACTATAACCTAACCTGAGCTGAGCTCTTTAACACCCAACAATCGGCTGCGATTTATCGTCGATCATATAGATTTAAAACAGAATAAAGGGAACACGACAACAACACAATGCTCTGCTTTGTTTTAGTTTCGGCAAATAAAAAACAAAAAAAAAGTCACTTCAAGATGAAATCTATATGTGAAACACCCTGTAAAAGTCGAAACCACAAATGACAACAATAGTAAGTTTTAAAAGATTCAAAAGACAATACTGGCGGCTTTACGGCGATATCCGAATTGGCAATGTTTGTATTTTTTGCTGCTTACTTTTTATTTATTTTTTATATAGTTGCGGTAGTAGTCTGAATGACGCCAACTACATACAACAGCAACAATGCTACCAACACATCGGTATAAACATTTATACTTGCCAAATAATAATACAATTCTTATCAGCTTTCACACGTTCTCTTCGGTTTCGTCTTAGTCGCCTGATTCCTTTCGCCTTGCTCGTATGCAGTATGTAGTCCTTGCCAGCCGCCTGACCTTGAGTAGGGGGGGGGGCAACGTAAAAGTTTCAAGGTTTTCACTGAATCAAACACATACCATACAAAAAAATATCTACGAGATTATTGCCGTGAAAGGGTTAATAATGTTTGGTGCTTTCTCACTTTCACCACCTCCGCTTGCTTTCGCCTGCTCCTCCGTTTGTCTTACCTTTTTCACTTAAACTGTCTCACAAATGAAGCGCAAACTTTTATGGTTATTTGGAAATTTATGATGTCGCGCGCTGCCTTGTGGTGCAACGTTGCTTAATGATAACTTTTCATTGCATATATATAGGCGCTGGCACATAATTTTCGCCATTTTCAAACCATTTAGCTGAGTACATAGTTTCTTTTGCAAAGTTTGCAATAAATAATGCGCGTAAAAGGTGTGGCAAAAGTTTTTAAACTGCCAACAAGCAAAATAAGAAAAAAAAAACTTTTTATGCGTAAAGTGTAAAAAAAAGTGTGTATGTACAGAGAAAAACTAACTGGCGTTGAAACGTGTCAATTACGTACGCAATTACCCGTAATGAATCCTTGTAAATTAGCATTTTGTATTTGCAAAGCTATTTTTTTCTGGGACTTTGCACGATTGCATATGTATCTACATTAAATATATGACTTTTTTCTAAAATTAAAAAAAAAAAAAGCCTATGAAGGGAGGATGAGGAATGACGAAAAATCAACAAACATAACATATTTGTCAAAATTTAAAACAAACAGTTCCTGCAGGAATCACCGAAAAAAAAATTTTATACTAAAAAAACAGTTTTTTTTTTCTAATTCTAAGTGTGATCAATATGGATCGTTGAGTAGCACAGTGATCTTAACCATACATTTCAATTTAAGAACGATTCATAATTGGCTCAAAAAGTTATGGAGAAAAAAAGTGCAGAATATCGCTTAAAAAAGTGTAAATTTGGAGGTTTTTCAGGTTTCAAAGCTTTTCAGAAACGTTCTATTAACTCTCGTCTTAATGCATATCATCAGATCGGATAGTCGTGTAGCTGAACTAATTATTTTTTCATATGTAGATAACCGAGTTATAAAAAAGACAAAGGTTTCTTGGATTTCCCCATAAATGTATGTATGAGGAGAAGTTCTAAGGCAATGGAATAAAAGAAAAAATAGTATACTCGTATGTAGAAACCAATTTTTGGTCTCAGTCATAATTCGGTTGACATGGAGTTTTCCATAAATATGTATTTTTTTTTCTTGTACACATTTTTTTACCAAGGACATTTTTTTTTCTGGTAAAAATATTTTGTATAGTACAAATTTTTTCTAGTATAAATTTATTTTCTAATACAATTTTTTTCTAGTATAAATTTATTTTCTAATAATTTTTCTAGTGCAAATTTTTTTCCTAGTACAATTTTTTTTATTCTGTTTCGAGAACGGTTCTTTTATATAATTTTTTTTCAAGTAAAACTTATTTTTTCGGTAAAAATTTTTTTCTGGTAAACAATTTTTTTCTATGTACAAATTTTTTCTCTAATAAAATTTTCTTATAGAAAATATTTTTCTCAGAGGTGCCTGACCTGAAATTTTCCATGAAAATTATATTTGTTTCTGGTAAAAGTTGTTTTCCAAAGCTGTTTTTTTCAGTACAATTTTTTTTCTAGTGGAAAATTTTCTAGTTTTCAAGTAAAATTTTTTTTGGTAAAAACTTTTGTTCTAGAAAAATTTTTATTTCTAGTACAAATATGAGCTACCTGACGGAATTTTCATACATATGTTTTCTTTTCTTGTAAAAATTGTGTTCTAGTACAATTTCTTTTTCTAGTAAAATTTTTTTTCTAGTACAATTTTTATTTAGTACAATATTTTTTTAGTACAATTATTTGTTAGCAAAATTTTTTTAGTAAATTTTTTGTTAGTACAATTATTTGTTAGGGGAATTTTTTGTTACTACTATTTGTTTTGGTACAATTTTTTTTAGTACAATTTTTTGTTAGTACAATTTTTGTTAGTACAATTTTTTGTTAGTACAATTTTTTGTTAGTACAATTTTTTGTTAGTACAATTTTTTGTTAGTACAATTTTTTGTTAGTACAATTTTTTGTTAGTAACATTTTTTGTTAGTGCAATTTTTTGTTGGTACAATTTTTTGTTAGTACAATTTTTGTTAGTACAATTTTTTGTTAGTATAATTTTTTGTTAGTAGAATTTTATTCTGGAATTATTTTTTTTAATTCCTTTTGTAGTACAACTTTTTTTTTCGTAAATGTTTTTAGAAAAACTTTTTCTCAGAACTCCCTATGATTTTTTTTACAAAGTTTTGACAAAGACATTACTTCTGTTGGTTTTTTATCATTCTCATCCTCTCTTTGTAGGTATGTAACTATATTTAATTAAAAAAAAAAGTTGTATGCCTAGGATGTTTGTATGAATGTGTATTTAGAGACTTACATATAATCATACGTACATACGTAAATAGATATTTTTTTATGTGTATACTAAGTATTTACAAGCATGTAAATTCTATACTAATTATTTTCGTTTTCTGCTGCTTCTGTTTCTTTTCAGCCGCGTTACCTTGCCATTAACTGTGGAAGAGGTTAGTATACAGGAAGTCAAAAACTAGGAACTAGAAAAAAAGTACAAAAACTGTGCTTTACCCTCACTGGAACGTCTACAGTCATCACATGCGGCGCAACCGCACACCCGCATATGCAATTGAATGCAGCCTGTGGCGCAAGCAATAAGCAAATCTTATAGCCGACCCTCTTCGTCATACGCCAATCGCCAATCGCCAACAGTTTTAGTTCTATGCATTTTAATTTTCTTTGCTATTTTTATATTTTTTCTTTGTTACTTACATACATATCGGCTCCTGGCTATTTTTGCCTCGCCGTCATTGTAAACGCGCCGCTGCATAATTACACTTATTCGTATGCTCGTTGAAAAATAAGAAATAGAAACAAATTAACAAAAAAAAAAAAAACAAAAAAAAAAATCGGAAATAGAGCACCAATCAGCCAATGTGGCGTCAATGGCGAGGCCAGGCGAGTGCGGTCACCGTCGTTCATAGGAAATTAATTAAAAATTCAATATTGTGCACGCTCTCTTTAACATTTTTCATTTTTTCTAAGTATTTAATTTTTATTTTGGATTTCCAAGTATACTCAATGCATTTTAGTAGAATAGGATTACTTTTGATGAAAACATAATTTTGTATGTAACATTATTTGAAGACTGTTTAAATCGGTGTAATTGTTAAGTGTTGTCATCGAAAGAGTAGGAGCCATCTAGCGGGCTGTCCCGTAAACATGTAGTTGTAAGAGGGGTGACCCAGAAAAAGAGATATGGTAGTTTCACAACGTACACAACGTAATTGTAACAGTGTTCTGCTGCGGATTTCTTAAGTCAGATTCGAACGGTGATGATTTTTCATGAAAAACTGTTTCATAGTACATAGTACATAACTCAAGCTACATTTATTTAAATAGATATAGATAGCACAACACCGAAACCGGTTTGTCTCCAAACCAAAATTGACAAGGGATGACGGAAAATTGTTCCACAATAGAGCATACACCTACTCTGTCGGAAACACAAACAACGAAAAATATCAAATAGGAAGTATCAAAATATATATATGCTTAATAATCCTTTCTTATTGCCTTCTAAATTCAAGCGCCTTCCTAATACTTATATTTAAATTTGTCATGTAGCCCCCATAACCTTATTTGGCAACAGTGCGGCTGTAATCATAACTTTTTATCATATTTCTCTCCACACACCTTCTTACATTATTTCTCCCATTATTTTGTAACTAAGTTGGACATTTTTCTTATAAAGTGTACACCTTATGCATTTCTTTATTTAATTTTTTATTTGCTTTCTATTTCTTATCCTTACGCAGTATCAAGTTGCACAACTTTATTCAGTTGCTGAAGCATCGAAGAATGAGACTGGCGGTGGTGAAGGCATTGAAGTGCTAAAAAACGAACCATTCGATAATTATCCACTGTTGGGTGAGTATGAGTTATACCAAAAGTACTCGTACATAAATCTTAATGAAATTTTTAATTACACACATGCTTTTCATTTTAATTTTACAGGTGGTAAATATAATGCCGGCCAGTATACATATAAAATCTACCATTTGGCATCAAAAGTTCCAGCATTTATAAGACTGTTGGCACCGAAGGGTTCCTTAGAAATACATGAAGAGGCATGGAATGCATATCCGTATTGCAGAACGGTCATAACGGTATGTAAAGATGTGCTAACATATTTAAACAAAAAAAAATGGCAAACGATGATATTTTAGCGTTGGCACTGCAATCGCTAAGGAGTTTTGAATCAGTATGAATTTAGAAACTTTAGAAACTTATTTTAGAGAGTTAAAGGAACGAAGAAAGCGGTTAGCGCGTAGAGTGCTAATAGCAGTGCTCTTTATAAGACTGTTAAGTTGTCTGGCATTCAAAGAAAGCATTAGCTAGAGTCAAAACTATCTCTGCATGATTTTGGGGAAAGATACTGGAGTGCCAGTGCATGGCTAGATATACATAAATCTTTGTTGTTCCGTACGTACATAGAACTGACTAATAACTTACCTTATCTCTGCGAGAAGCCTAAAAATGTCAAACTCGAGTTTAAGTGTCTATGAAATAGGAGTTGGCTAATTAGAATCTCATTATGTCTTAAGAAATATTTTTTGGTAAAATATATAACTCAAATATATCTATATAATCATTTAGTTATCCTGTGTTCAGAAATGCATCAAGCCAAAGCATCAGTCTCTTTTATTTCTAAACTATCACTGATAGAAATGTCCAATATGCGCAACCACGGTTAAAAGCCGAATTGGCCGTAAATAGTTGTTTTCCATTAATAATAAAATAACGAAGTTGGGCTGGAATTTCCCTTGGGGGGTCGATTTTATCGGTGGTATGAGTTACGTGAGATGCTCTGGCAGATGGGGGATTCCACCTTTTCGCGTAGTAGTACGTTTTGTCCTCTAAATAGCTTAGTGCATTTGCTGAGCTATCTCTAATTCCAGTGGACAACAGCCCTAGAGGAAGGATAGAAAGGATAGGGGAAAACAGGTGTAGATATATTTTCCAAGCACTAAAGCCTTAAGATGGGATAAAAATCATAGGGAAACGCACCATCTCAGTCTGATAAGGCCGGATGGTTGTATAGAAAGTGCTCTATCCTATCCTCATCCTTACCGTTGGTTAACATATTTCATTCCTATAATTTAGTAATCTCTTCGAATCCTTGGAAAAAAAAATTATGTATATACAGTGTCAGTGAAAATCGTACAGTAAATTGTTTCCATATTTTGAAAGTGTTTTGTTTTATTTAAATTTAATGAATTTTTAATAAAAACTTAGTTTACACTACAGCAAAATCATATAACTACAAGTTTCAAAACAAAACACTTCTTCAAAATTTCAAATATTTTCTCGAGATTTTTTTTTGAATATCTTAAAGTGCAAGTTTGAAATAGC